CACTATAAGGTGAATTCTCTTTAGGAAACACTGGCTTCCTTCATGCTACACAGATATTTTGAGATTCAACACTAATGTTTATGTAAATAGTTAATTTTTTATTTCTAGGAAATATTGTATTCTATGGAGACCACTTTAACTATTGAGCTGTCTATGGTTTCAGTTATTTCTATGTTTGGGGTTTTCTAAATAAAACAGCTGGGAATATTGTGGGGGAAAAAAGAATTAAGTGGAATAATGTCAAACTCCTGGTACATAGTTGACATTTAATTCCGTGAGAACAAACATAAATGTTGTAATAGGCATTTGGTTTCAACAAATACCAGCTTCTCCCCAGTCCTCCTCCCACTTTTAGGGAAACAAAATTTCCCTTAAAGGCACAGAGAAGAAAACACTCTGTGGCATCACTGATGTTACTACTGAGTTTCCTCTTTCCTAATTCTTCCTTTAAAGCTGAAGAGAGAATGTCCCTAATCAGAAGGTTCAAAACTTATTTTCCCTCCTACAAAAGAAAATAAGGGTGATTGTTCAAGCTTGGCAGGCCATTTAAAGGCCCTGGCTGGTATTGCTAAGTGGTTCGAGCATCAGCCCACACACTGAAGGGCTGTGGGTTCACTTCCTCGTCAAGGGCACATATTCGGGTTGCAGGTTCAATCCTCGGCCCCAGTCAGGACACATTTGGGAGGCAACCAATCAATCTGCCTCTCTCACATTGATATTCCTCTCTCTCTTTCTCCCTGTACTCCACCTCCCCTCCATTTTCTCTAAAAATCAATGGAGAAAATATCCTTGGGTGAGGATTAACAAATAATAATAATAATAATAATAATAATAACAATAATAATAATAATAAAATAAAGCACCAAATATTCCTTCCACTGTAATCATCTTATAAAAGGGAAATAACACTATGGTTTAATAGCAATGATAAAATTATGCTGGTGAACATGACTCTCAGTCCCAGTTAATTTACATTTTGAATTCTTATACTTGCACCTTACATAACTTGTCAACATTACATATATTTTGGCCAATATGCTTAATACCATTTCCAACTAAAAATGTGCAATAAACAGTTATTCATAATCTCTAACTTCAACTGGGATTATAGAGCTATTACATTGGGGATCATGAGATACTTTTATGTTTCTTACCACATTCCACTGGTTTATCATAGCGGTACAGCTGCCTAACCTCGTGGTTACTGCTGTGACAGCTGCTGGGATCCTGGAGAGAGTTTCTTTCACTGCTGCAGCCTGTGCTTTGTACCTGCCTTTGTAAACATGTGGAATAGTGCAACCCTGCCATAGAGAGCATGCCCTGAATCGCTTCTTCCTCTGTGCTCGTCGAGGTAGGACATTCCCTAAAAAGCAGATAATCAAAAATACAAGAGCCTATTTAGCCTAATGGCATTTTGGTAAATTTTAAAACTAAAAGAAATGTTTTCATGTCCTTATATCACACTAGAGGCTTGGTGCACAAATTCGTGCACCAGTGGGGTCCCTTGGCCTTGCCTGCAGAATCAGGCCAAAACTGGCTCTCCGACATCTTGAGGGGTCCCAGATTGCAAGAGGGCACAGGCCAGGCCGAGGGACCCCACCTGTGCACAATTGGGGTTGGGGAGAGACGTGGGAGGTTGGCCAGCCAGGAAGGGACTGTGGGGAGGGCTCCAGGGCATGTCCGGCCTGTCTCACTCAGTCCTGATCGGCCCAGCAGCAAGCTAACCTACTGGTCAAAGCATCTGCCCCCTGGTGGTCAGTGCATGTCATAGTGACTGGTCAACTGTCTGACCCCTGGTGGTCAGTGCACATCATAGCTAGTGGTTGAGTGGTCTTAGCATATCATTAGCATATTACGCTTTGATTGGTTGAATGGATGACCAGACAACTGGACACTCAGCATTTTAGGCTTTTATTGTATAGGAATGTCATGAAAATACTACCATCAGCAAACCTACCTTTTAACTGGAATTTCACTTCTAGATGTTTTCTGGCTCTTTTGAAGAAAGTTCCTCATCACATTAGATTCCTCCTTAAAGTTTGATGTTATCTTTTGTTTCTTTTCATCACCTGAACTTTCAGACTCTTCAGTGGTAAAATTATTTTTCTGAAATAATAAATAATTAAATGAAAGAAAAACTATATAAGAAATCTGACCAAGACTGTACAAACTAACAAAAAATACTTTATCTGTCTAGGGAAAGTTAGAATCTTAATTATCATGAAATTATTCCTGTATTTCATACAAAAAAGTGAAAATCTCCATAACTATAATAACATAATTCCGTAGTAAAAAACACACAGGACATGTTTTCTTTAAGGTAAAATGAAATATAAAACCTAGGAGATATATGAGAAACTAAGAACAGTATCTCCCTCCACCATTTCCAAAATCAGATAAAGCTACATTTAGCAAATGTAAACAGTCACACACGTGTGTGTGTGTGCGTGGCATGCACGCGTGCTCGCATG